GCCCACCCCCTGGCAAGGTGGCAAAAGCAGGGTCACAGAAAAAAACAGGAGGCAAAATGGGGGAGAGAAGAGCAGCAGGAAAACCAGTAGGCAAAGTGGAGGAGAAAACCATTAGAAGCACAGCACCTCAACCTCCTACACTGCCTGACACCTCTCTGTGCAAATTTGGTCTGAGAGACTGTAATCCACAGGGGAAAACAAGGGAAGCTGAGACTGGGGAAGGGGGAGGATCCATGTTTTTACACGTCTGTGTGGCCTCATATTGCTAATAGCATGGTTTCCCTACATGCTAACTATACAGATGGTGTAAAGGCYTGCAGGGTAACACTTTGGTAGAAGAGAGGCCTGAATTTGCAAACAGGAAGTTTTTGGGGGGCTGTAAGGAAAAAGAAATTTAGTCATGTTAAGGCCACTTATCAGGTTATGTGGATAAAGTAGGTCATTAACCCCTCCTGAATTAAGGACTGCTTTTTTTTTGATTAGTGCAGTGATGTATGCATGAGGCCCTTACTTAGGGCATACATAGCTATGCCCTGCTGCCCGGGATATGATTTACTGATTTTGAAAACTAGAAGCTGGCAGTTAGGAGTCTGGTCATTGTTTTCATGAAGGGTGGAAAAAAAAAAACTGGATATCTGAGCCTACAAGAAAGATCTCAACAACTGGGAAAAAATACCTTCTTGAGGCCCCAAGAGACTCCTTTCTTTCTGGTGATATTTATGTATGGTCTTAAATAAAAAAAGCTAACTATCACACTAAGTCATGTTGATCCAGAATTTACAATGAGGCCCATTTCTTTTATTACCTCAGCCCTGTCTCACTGAGATATAAGGACACACTGACAGAAAGAGTAGTTAGTTTGCTCAAAACTAAAATCAACAGCATATATTTAAATTCCAAAGGTAGTCGAGAAAAATTAATGCCTGTTGTACTGGAGAGAAAATATCACTATGTACGATCAGATACACAGGCAGTGATGTCCAAACTACCAGGCTGAGGYAGAGTTTGACACAGTACTTCTTTTGCCAATCACCAAATATGACTGGTGGTAACAAAGTGATACGACTTTGTCTTGTGGTCACAATTTTACATTAAGCTCAATTTTTAAAAAAGAGGYGTTTTGAGCTTCTGTTATTGTACCCACAGACATAACTGTATTTCATTCATATGTTCTGATGTATCAGTAGATCTCAAAGCACTTTGAAATGGTGTCATATATAATTGGGATATGAGGCACAGATGCAGAGATGCATTCAAAGTCTTCCACCAGACCCATAGCCAAACCAGGACCAGAAACCAGGGACTTCAATCTTCAATCCATTTGTAAGAACATCCTAATATGTACTTAAAAAGTGGTWAAGAGGAAGTTCATAAAGACAAATACTAAGATTAGTGATGTAGTTCATATCTACAGGAAACAYTGGATAATGAATACTAAACTATAGAAATAACAATTGTGTGGCTTGCTACTTTTCRTTCCCTCCAACATGGATTTTAAAAAAAAAAATTACCCATTCCTTCATTTCACAGGCAAAGGGGCTAAAACTTTAATACTCAAAACCCCATAGTCATTAATGTTTATGTTTATATATTTTATTAACTCCACCTCTTTGTTAATACCAGTCCAGTCTGAACAGTTACTAGCTCTTTTGCTTGGGTTAGGAAATTCTTATACTCTAATGTGCAGTACAGCAATTAAATAATCTGTTTCTTTTGSTATTGTGTCCACACCCTTAAAGCTGTGTTAGAGAACACTGATTGTCATTCCACTTGCTGATGACATAGCAAGGGTAAACTCTGCTGTGGGACTCTCTTCACAGCCTTGGCTTCTTTTTTTGTTTTTGTTTGGTTGGGTTTTTTTTTTGTTTTTGTTTTTGGGTTTTGTTTTTTTTTTTGTTTTTTTTTATTTGTGTGTGCATGTATCTGGGTGGTGGTGGAGTTTGTTGCTGTTATTTGGGTTTCCCTGCTTGAAGCTGATGGAATGGTTTCTGGAACTGGTATATGGAGTGGGTTGCAGGTGCTCAGTGTAGGAAAGGCCGGGAAGTTCAGGCTGTGGACACTAAAGGACGAAACGGGAATGAGCCTCTCAGTAGAGGCTCTGGCATGGTTAAAATCCTCGCTGATAAAAAGATATTCCTTAGCAGTAGAGAAATCTCCCCAATTCAGTGGAAGTCTCTGCCCTCTACTGGCATTGCTGAAGATCAGCCTTGCTCAGCTGTGGGAGTTGTGATCAGACCCCGAGAGCCCTCACAGACCGTGCTGAGACCGGCCGTATTTATAGAGCAAATCCTTTAGAACATGGTGTTTCAGGAAGTGCAAGAATAACAGCATCTGACAGAGATCTAAATCTCAAGTGACATTTGCTRTTGACTTCTGCAAAGCCTTTCAGATGTCTGCCTACTTCTCACCTTGTTCAACACTGCAAGGGTTAGTCTGAAGCATCTCCACATGCTATTACAGTCCCCATCTGTTTTCTTCCAGTGAGCCAATACGAGGAAGAAGAAAGATAATAAWTATTACTTTTTGTTTTGGTAGTAGTTTTCATTCCACTATTTTCTTAAAAAAATCATGTTTGTTTACCATAATTATTTCAACAATAGATTTCAAAGTGTAAGTTTGGGTTATTGTAGAACTGCACCTGCTGAATGACTCAGCTATTACTGTATTTGGAAACTTTTACATTTTCATTGGATGCGGGGCATGATTCTAAATCTTTATTTTGTGGCAATTGTTATTAGATAATTGGTAGAAAACTAGTTTTCTCATAGAAATATAACTAAACAAATTAAACCTGTTGGTAAAATACATGAATTTCACTTCCCAGTGAACTCTGAAAAGATTTTAGACTCAGTCCTGTAGTGAACTAAAAGTTCTGCAAAGCAACAGGACTGTACACAGGTCAGGCTCTGCAGAACAGCAGCCACAGTGCAGACACCAACTCAGGTTCCCACCCACTTAACACCTGAGATGTCAAAAACAGATTCTTGCCCAGTATTYGGAAGTCTTTGGATTTATAGCGATACCACTGATATCCAACTGTACAAGCCTCTTTTATCTGTGATTTATCTAAACCTACTTTCTCTAAATCTGTCAGAAAAAKCCCCACTCATACAGAGCAGGCCAGTCCCTGCCAGCTGCCCTGGCCTTCTGACAAAGCCACATTGTCTCTGCACCTTTGTATCAGATGCCACAYGCAAGAGCCATCCCAGTTTGGGGAGACTGGAACTGTACCTATGATGCAATTGCATCATCTTCTCCAAGGTGCACTGCCTCGGGTCTAGAAATATTTATTTTTAGACAATGTTACACCTGTGAAACCCAGAATRCCGAGCCCAAGTGGGATGCAGTGTAAGCAGGACTGATCTGGCATGATTTGTGCTTTATTTTTGCCCAGACCTCACGGATATCACCCTTAGTAAACAGCAGTATGCATCTTTGAAGGAAGGTTGCATAGAAAAGCACCCTATTAAACAGGCTCTGTGCATGTGAGTTTTTTAGTATGACAACATCTGCACAGACCTAAGTAAAAAAAATGAAAAATTCAGCTGCTTAATATATATAAGAAACTAATAAATATTGCATTCCTTAAATTAAAGGAAGATGAGSTTCTAACTTCTGCAGTATTACAGTGTTGTTAACTGTGCCATATAAACAGCAAAATATAAGACATTCAGAGGTTCTCATCAACATTAGCATGGATATTCATCATTTTCTAGTTTCTGTAATTAGCAGTAAGAGATCCCTGCCTGAAGGGGGGGGTTGGACTAATGATCTTCAGAGGCCCCTTGCAGCCCAAACCATGCCATAATTCTGTAAGAATCTTCAAAACAGGTCTGCAGTCTCCAGTCAGTCTGTGGGCACTGCAGGGACTTAATCCATACAGAACATTCCCACTCACAGACACATCTCTCCTTCTCATTGTAGCACCACAAGCTCTCTGGGCAAGCTGAAGGAGCCAGGCAACCCAGATGTCTGCAGTGTCAGGGTGGCTTTTTCTCCTRGACAATTAACTGAAATAGTTTGAACAGATACAGGATGAAACTGGTCACATAAAGCCTCTTTAACATCAAACTCCCCAGGTTAAATCACTCACCTTTAGAACCAAGCTTGTCAAACACTCGCCTATATATTCCCTCTCCAGCTTCAATGTAATTTTTCTATCTTTCTGCTCATACTGGCAAAGTCATGAAAGTTAATTCAGAAGTCTTCCATTTGCAATTATGCTTTAACACTATTCACTGTTTTATCTAGCTTGCCAAAGGAAACCTTCAAATCACATCAGTTTGTAGTATGATCCTACCCCCTTTTCCAGAATAATTGAGTAGCACCCTAGGGTTACCAGTGCCTTGCAGTTTCTGTCTGTGCTTTGAGACTCGAGAAACTGCTGGTGCARCAGCAGCATTGGAAGCATTCTACTTAAAAGCAGATTTACAAATTGACAGCCCTGGACTGGTTTGACAGAACAGAAAAATCCCCCTCCACCTTTGCATCCAGCAAAACAAGTAAAGAGACAGTCATAGCAAAACAGGCAACCATTCCATGTTAAAATKAGCATGGGCATGTGAGCTTTTCCAGTGGGAAGAGGAGAAAGGTTTCCTGACTCATGGAATCCTTCCCCAACACAACCCTGAAGTTAATTAAAAAAAAAAAAAAAAAGTGCAGAGGGAGAACATGCACACAACTTTGCATATTCAACTGCTTTCAAGATGTTCCAAAAAGTCTGATAGTAGTTAAATTCCATGTAAGCCGATGCTCAGAACAGGTAGTGCTTGCATTCTGCATCTCAACTGTATTTCCATATAACATGGCTGGATTTAAGAAAATATTTACCCCAACTCCATGCATGGCTGCTAGATCTTTGCCACACAGAAAAACGTATTTTATGCACCATGRTCAGAAGTAAAAAAATTAAGTTCTTTACCACAACTGAACTGCATGTTCARTTAAACCAATTAAAATATTATTAAGATATTGGGAATACAGGAATGGAGACAGCCCGGTACATAAAACAATATATATTTATTTATCACAAAAAGTTCYATTTTCAAATAGAAGTACATGTATGCTTTTTCTACTACTTTACGATACTTTGCTTTTTGAAAAAGTCAAGAACCATCAGGACTAAGAGAAAGACATACTAATCATTTGACAGAATGACTATTTTATCCTACAGCTGTAGGCCTGAGAGCAGCTYATGAACCRTAAGGCAAATTAGGAATTTCATCTCAAGTGAGTAATCTGTATTCAGTTTCATTAAGTCAAGTGGAACATTCACAAGAAAAGTGTTACATGACTAGGATATGATATATATGACCACCATGTTTCCTATGGCTTCAGCCAACATAATATGCAGGGTGGGGTTAYATTCTCAGACAGAAAAAGACAGAATACTGAAAGATTCACAGTAAGTTGCCAGAAACACTTACTGACAAAGAAATCCAACCATTATGTGTGCAATCACATGACATAGTTAAGCACAATTCCTCCTTCACAGAGAACAGGTAAGTTACCATACAATGCTCAGAATTAGGACATCTACAGATCTTAAAGCCTGCAACTTTCATTTAGAGACAAGTTGACATTATTTGGTAAACAAATGCTGAGAGCTCACAAGTGACAGCACAGCAATATTACTTGAAATCTGGTTCCATTAATGGAATAACTACAAACACTGGATACAGAAGACCATCCAAATTATACTGGCAGACAGATTTCCCACAGCTTCTCCTTTGTTGAAATTTCATCACTCTAAGTGACTGACATCAAAGATGTGCTGCTGAAACTAGTTCAGTCTTCCCTCCTGTAGTTATCACCTGGATTAGACTCCCAGAGCTTGGTCGATTCTTTCCTGTTATCCAGTCATAAAAGGTTCTGTTTTAAAATAAATGGACAAAACAAGATGAGGAAGAACAAAACAATAACAACTACTATCAGGTTTATTGACAGGAAGAACAACATAAAAACCTATTACTTTTCCTTCTTCTCCTACTGCTCTCTCTAGTGATTCCTATGTATGCTGTAAAATAGTGATGCMATCACTGGATTCAGACCCTCAGAAATGCAGAGGGCCCAGAGAAATCCAAGGGCTTCAGAGCACACAGGATTTCCGAAATATCTCAAAGGAAAAGGCCAGGAACTCAAAAGACAGAGTGGCAAGGTTTTTTTCCCCAGTTAAAAAAAAAATTCAAAAGGGGAAGGAGGGGCTACTTTAGTTGCCTTTATAGCATACATATAAAAGAAATACAGTTTTATGGCTAGGAGAGAGTTGCTAAACTCATTAGTCTGCCAACAGGCCATTATAACATTTCAGTGTTTAACTGTGACAGTGGTCTCAGCAGGAGTAAAAAAAGCCTTAAGACATTTCAAGTAAGAAAGATCCATTCTAGGTAGGAGATCAGGACACTCTTTATCAAAATGCAATACAAACTCCTTCCTCAAAACAGAATACAGRAAGTGAAATATATTTTACAGGTCCATCAACCCTTCCAATACTGCAGACATAGCAACTGCCATGTTGGAACATCTCCCTATCCAACAACAGCTTCAGGGCACAAAACTCAAGTGCCACACAAAAGGATTTCCTGTGTCCTTCCCAAGATGCAGATGTTGCCAACAGATGCTGATGTTACACAGACAGTGAGATTTTCAGTTTTCAAACTGTGGTTAAACTTTTATGAATTAGAAACAAAACAAACCAGTCTACCAAATTCTCGTATAAGAATAAAATACTTAGAACTTAAACTTAAAAAATGATTTTGCATTACTGCAACATCTGGCTAAGCAGTCTCTGGAGTACAATAAATTAAGGATCTTTTTCTGAACATTTTCAGGCCAGCCAAATTCAATTGATGGGGCCTGTAATAAAGAGCCTCATGAGACAACTGCAGAGGCATCAACTAAACAGCTGCAACTAAAACTATTTCAGTCTCTACCACCCACCTTAAAAAACTTTACAGAAAAGGAAATCGGTATCAGAACTAAACTACTCTCTRAACAATTAGCAACAGGTAAATTCAATTTTACTCTCAGCTATAAAAGACTTTTAAAATGTGTAAGAGTTCACGCTCAGCAGAAACTCTGCTACTCTCCATGAGCAGAAGRCAATACTCATGCTGCACATTCTCTAATCCTGAGGAATGAGAACAGTAAGGCAGACAATCTCAGCCTGCATTATGTAAGCTACAGGTGAAGTRTCAGCATTTTGCAACATCATACAGGACAAGTTTTTGCAGATAGCAAAAAAAAAATTCTTTACTAAGTTTTTCTAAATAAGAGCAGGAATGTTACCAGTTGAGAGAACTGAACTAGGCAGTAAAGAGTGCTTAAAAGAAAARGAATCCCACCCAAGTTTACATGCCTATGTGCAGTTTATCTTTAAGCCAGGTGTCTCCTGCTGCCAGCAATTTAATTTGTCTACAGGCTTCAGTAAATTCTCTGGCTTCCAACTGCTTAAAGCTACCTTCCTTGCTGGAATAACTCATGTAGAGAAGCTGGAGTTGATGGAGTTAGGCTCATTTTCTCCAGTTAGGAAGCCTATGCAATAAAGTCAATGGGATTTAGAAAGATACACAATAAGGAGATGATGGAGGAAAAAAATCCACCCAAATCCATGACAGTTATTTAAAAAGAATATGCACTGAGATGCAGCAGCAAGAGGGACAGTGAAGAACTGCTTAGTTATCCCATGGATACTCACTCTGCAATGAATTCTAAGGGTGTCCAGGAGCTGAAATCTGCATCAGGCATTGATTTCCTATTTGCTGGTGTATCCAAGGTAACCCTGTGATCAAAAAGATAAGCAAGCCTTTTATTTATCATGTTTCTGATGAGCACCACCTGCTTCAATTCAGAGCTGTAATGTGCGTGACCTTTACACCATGTGGAACAGATTTCCCTTGCATTCTCCATGTGTATTAAACAGAATACAGTCATTAGTTTCAATGTTGACTCAAATCKGACTCAAATCACCCCAAATCGGACCCAAAACACCCCAGATGTGAGGGGATACTGAACGACACAGCTTGGGACAGGGGGTGGCTGCAAAAAAATGGGGAATTTTAGGGATTTTAGGGGATTTTGGGGTTGGGACCCCCGAAAGTGAAACCAAAGTGGCACCRAGGCAAAAATCTGCACCCGAAACGGAGAGAAATTGCCCCAAATCTGACTCAAAATGTACCAAATCTGACACAAATCTGAGCTAAATGACCTCAAATCTCAAACCTAAAACTGACCCAAATCAGCCCAAATCGGACTCAAATCAGCCCAAATCCCAAAACTGACCCAAATCACCTCAAATCTCACAAATCCACCCCAAATCTGACCCAAACCACCCCAAATTGGACCCAAAACACCCCAATTGTGAGGGGATGCTGAATGACACCTCTTGGGACAGCAGGTGGCTGCAAAAAATGGGGAATTTGGGGATTTTATGGGATTTTGGGGGATTTTAGGGGATTTTGGGGAGGGGGGTTGGGGTTGGGACCCCCAAAAGTGAAACCAAAGTGGCACCGAGGTAAAAATCTGCACCCAAATCRGAGAGAAATTTCCCCAAATCTGACTCAAATCTGAGCTAAATTAGCTCAAATCGCACTCAAATGACCCCAAATGTGACCCAAAACTGGCCCAAATCAGCCCAAACCGGACTCAAATCACCCCAAATCCCAAAACTGACCCAAATCACCTCAAATCTCACAAATCCACCCCAAATCTGACCCAAATGGGACCCAAATCACCCCAAACCTGACCCAAAACTCTCAAATTGTACTTAAACCACCCCAAATCTGACCCAAATYACCCCAAATCAAAACCAAAACACCCCAAATGTGAGGGGATGCTGAATGACACGGCTTGGGACAGTGGGTGGCTGCAAAAAAATGGGGAATTTAAGGGTTTTAGGGGATTTGGGGGGATTTTGGGCAAGGGGTGAGACCCCGAAATTGGCACCGAGGTGGTGTCAAAATCCCTCAGGAAAAACCCGCACCCAAAATGGAGAGAAATTGCCCCAAATCTGACTCAAAACGTCCCAAATCTGACACAAATCTGACCCAAATGACCTCAAATCTGACCTAAAACTGACCCAAATCAGCCCAAATTGGACTCAAATCACCCCAACTCCCAAAACTGACCCGAATCACCTCAAATCTCACAAATCCACCCTAAATCTGACCCAAATCGGATTTAAATCACCCCAAATTGTTAATTTTGGGTCATTTCAGGTCAGTTTCGTGTTAATTTCGGGCCAGTTTTGTGTTAATTTTGGGTCAATTTTCAGGTCAATTTCCTATTAATTTCGGGTCAGTTTCTGGTAAGTTTCAGATCTGTTTCTGGTCAGTTTTCAGGGCAGTTTTGTGTTAATTTCTGGTCATTTTTTAATCAGTTTCATATTAATTTC